TGTGTAGCATACAATTATCTTCACTTTAGTACAGCTTCTATATATAGCTGTATATACGCTTAGTTATTTATGGTTGGGTTGTTTTTGGATTAACATGTATTTTGCTTCTATAACATAGGTATAATAACTTATTAACTTTGCTATGTAATTAACTGTCAAAAATCAATATTATGCAAACTGGTTTGCTGTACATTTTGATTAGTAGAATGCAAATTGGTTTTGATTTGTTTATTTGTCTCCTATTTTAAGTGGTAAATTCTTATTTGCTATGAATGAATGGAAACATGCTATGTAATTGACTACCAAAAATCAATAGAATGCAATTTGGTTTACTGTACATTTTGCTCTATTTATTTCTCTCATGTTTTAAGTGGTAAATTTTTGTTTGCTATCAATGAATGGAAACATAGATAGATTTCTCAAAATATTGCATTTTTATATCATGGCCAATTGCCAAAATACATACAGTGCCAGGTTTAGGCAAAGTTTTGATACCACAGAATCATACACATCCTACAAAATGCTCTCCTACCCGTAACCTGCCCAGGAACAAATGACATTGTAATATTGTATTCAGTGAACCAAATCCTTCATTACAAATACAACTAACATTACAATCACAAAAGCCAAGAGGCTTTCTCTCAACAAGCAAGAGACAATATTTGCTAAACCCCCCTACAAATTCTCCTGCAATGCTAAGACTTTGTTGCTTAATTCATAGAGAATGCTCTTCATCTCAATCAATTATAAAATAGTATTAGGAAACACAGCCTCTTCAATTGCTTAGCCATAACATAACTCTCCCCTTAACTGGGTTATTTCTTTCTAGAGACTGTCCCTTTCATTCATCAAGGATTTTTTCTCTTCACTTAAAGCAAAAGTAACTTCATGCGCCCTTTTCTCATACCACTTGTCATGCCATTCAAAGAAATCATAGAATTTCACATTCTCTTATGCATTGGCTCCTTGACCCTATTATTAGCATATAATCAACCCAACAAAAAGGGAAAATCACTGATTCAAAAAAAAGTGAGCATACACTTAACCCAACAAAAAAGGGAAAACCATTAATTAAACAGAACCAAGCATACGCTCAACCCAACATGAAAGGGGAAACAATTGATTCAAATAGAACCAAAAATGGAACAGATACATACCTTTTTTTTTCTTCAAAAACCAATTTGGGCAACCATAAAACCTCTATCCAGCGTTACCTTCTGTTACCTTCTGTCCAGGTAGTCCAACAAGGACATTTGAGACTACAATCGCAATACCTCTACTTTCCTTCATATGTGATCTCCATGCTTCCTCATTCTTCAACTAATGATGGAGAATAAACAAATTGGAAAGAGGTTGAAGATGACATCTCTATGACCCAAATTACCTTAAACTTTAATCAAAATAAAGGGAAAGAAATCAAGGTCGTAAGGAATTGAAATGAGCAGAGGAAGGAATTGAAATGAGTACAAGCAAATCAAAATAGAAGGAAGGTTCAATCAAGGGTGAGACTGTGAGATTGAAACCCTAGATCCTCAATTTTATTTGTTTTGGTAAGGTTTCTTCAGTAAAAGCATTGGAGTGCCATCTCGGTAAACCTAGGTGGAGTAAAAATGGTCCACATCAGTGCCCAATCAGTTCCTAGTCAATATCAACTCGTCAGGCTTTAACGAGCAATGGGTGGGTCTAACAGCTAGACGATGTCATTCCCTTTAAAAGGGCTATTATGCGAATAACATGAAGTAGAGAGGCTGATTTGCAATAGTTTCTAGCACAGGGGTTGATCTACCACAACATTGCAGGTACAAGGGCTAAATTGCACCTTCTGACCTTTCATAAAAGAAAACTTTTACAACACTTGATTTTTCATTTAAAAAACTTAAACTCAAAATCTAATTTTAAAAAATTAAATTCCTCTTACTCAAATTAATAAATGAGTGATTTTTTCCTAACTATTTTCATTTAGTACCAATTCAATAGAATTGGAGTGACAAAGA